CTAAAACATTAGAGAGTTAAGAACAAAATCCTCTTATTTTGGTTTTTCTCCCACTTAAATGCCAATGGCAATTCCACTTTCTCCTGATGATGAATGTTTGCTTAAATTGTTAAGATGACTAACACTTCATAGATTATTATTTGGAGCACTGCTCTCTCATTTAAATACTTAAGGGAAGAAAAAAAGGGAACTATCACGTGGGTATTGGTAAAGCTACTTGAATGAAATCTCTATTACCAGCAGTCGCTAATTTGCTCACATCCCTGAATGCTGAAGAAACTTCAAATAAATGTACAGGTAAATCCAAATGTTAAGAGCTAACAACACATTGTTAGTCTACCATTTTTACAAACAGGCAGGTTTGGGAAGGAAATAAAGGACAAGACATCTGTTCTCAGATAACCTATGTATTTATAGGTATTCCGTGTTTAAAAACAGCAGCAGCTGAGAAAGCACAGCCCCTTTCTTTCATGAATTTTAAATGCTTCGTATTCTAATAATTTCCCAACAGTACCCTGATAACACAAAAGACAGGGCTCTGAAATATGAGTACCTATGTGCTTGAAGTGTAGCTCAGTGGTAGAGCACTTGCCTAGCATGCACAAGACCCTGCGTTCAATCCCCAGCACCACAAAATTAATTAAGGAATTAATTAATCAGAGAATTTTATCTACAGACTCAAGAACCCAAAGCCACCAGAGTAGTGGCTTGAGACCCTGATTTCCACAACACTGTTTTGCCTGGTGAACCAAAAGGAAATATGGCAAAAACAAAAACAAACAAAAGGATGCTACAAGCCAGTGAGAGAGCACAGCTAGGAGTGGGTTTCAACAAACCCCAGTTCCTCTACTCTTTAGGTTCAATCTTAGGACATTGCTATGATCTGGCTTTTTTTTTTTTTTTTGTAGTACTGGGACTTGAACTTAGGGCCTTCACCTTGACCCACTCCACAGCCCTATTTTTGTGAAGGGTTTTTTGAGATAGGGTCTCATGAACTATTTGCTTGGGCTGGCTTCAAACCACAGTCCTCCTGATCTCTACCTCCTGAGTAGCTAGGATTACAGGTGTGAGCCACTGGCAGTTCTTGACCTACAAAAATGCAAGTTTTTGTGGTTCAGCTTAGTGGCTATGTGATTTGGGCACAGCCCAAGCTCTAAGCTTCCATTTCTTCAGGGTGGAAGGGGTGTTGAGCCATTTTTGCTGAAAAGCACTGAGTCCTTAGTTGGGCCCACAAATTAACTAAAAGCAGGAGAAAAGTTTGGTATCCCTGTCTCTATTTTGTACCTGTTGTCCTTTGCTCTGAGCCACTCATTCTCTTCTGCAGCCACCTTGGACTCAAGGAAGGACAGGAATGATTAGTAGCAACTTCATGACAAGGGACTTAAACTACCCCTAAATGAATAGCAGAGCCTTGCAGGACAGTTCACTCCTCCAAATGAGGACAATAACCTATAATGATGAGGCTGCACCTTGGAGCAGCGGTAACCATGTTTTGGGAACCAGATCACTCCTCTCAAGTAATGACAGCAATAACAATGGCTATGGAAACCTCAAAGAACAAATGAGATAATGACCAAAAAGACCACACCTATGACTAGGACTGTTTAACCTTGCATATCTCTCTCCCTCTGCCCCTAATTCTTTGTCTACTTAAACCTATATAGCTCATGTCTTTCCCCCAAAGATGGCTGAAGATGGACTGAGTGCTTATTCTGCCTCTTCCCCTAGAGTGTCCTGGGCCATGTAATAAATCTCCTTTCTCTACCCTTCACCATGTCTCTTTATTTGGTATACAGGGGCAACAGGCTGGATCTGACAGGTGGAAGGCCAGGAGTTTGGGGGCTGGTGTCCAAAACTCTGGTTTTAGTGTGACAGGTTGACTTGTATTTCCTCAAAATTCATATGTTGAAGTGTTGACTCCAACACCTCAGAATGAGGCCTTATTTGGAGGCAGGTCTTCAGAAGTAATGAAGATAAAGTAAGGTCTTGAAAGGGGGCCTTCCTCCAAAATTACTGATGTCCTGATAAAAGGGGAATTGTGGGCACAGGGCCATTCATAGGAAAGAAATGTAAGGAAGTGGAGACGACAATCATCTATGAGCTAAGAGGCCACCCCATGAACTTCCCAGCTCTCACAGCGAACCAACCTTGACGCCTTGACCTGAACTCCCACTCTCCAGAACTGTGACACAATAGATTCCTGTGACTTCAATCACCCACTGCTTTATTACTGCCACCCCAGCAAGCAGCACAGATGGGATGGCTGATGGCTGTGCCCGCAGCTCATGGGACAGGTGTGAGACTTAAAGGAGACCACGTCAAGTAAAGCATTTAGCACAGCACCCAATTACACAGTATGCACCAAATTTTTTTTTATTATTATTAATTACTATTACCACTGGTAGACACTGCATTTCACATCAGAATCACAATGACATTCTCAGGACATACACAGGCCTTCTCTTGTAGCCTAGTGTGGCATCTCTAGAACCTCTGAGGTATAGTCTGTGCCCCCTAAGTTTCTTTTCTGCCCTTGACACACCTGGCCACCAACTTTTCATCTCAGGTTACCTCTCAGCTATGACCTGAGTCAGGAGTCCTCCCCTGACCTTCTGCCACATCCTCTGTAAGGGGACAAACACCAGTGCAGTCTTTTCTCCCAGAAGTGCAATTACAGGTCCCAAATTAGACCGAAAATTTAGATTCCTCCAAATGTCCCTTAGGCAGGGCTGTGTGAACTACTCCTTAAAACTGGGAGGAAAGAACCGCAGGTAGGGAACTCTGTTTCCCCACACACAAGGCTCTACTCTAACCAGCTATTAAAGGAGCACTGTGGGTTAGGGCTCCCTTAGGTATGGTCTGCAAAGCACAAGCAGAGGCCAGTCTGGGAACTTGTTAGACATGCGAGGTTCTGGGCCTTGCCTCAGGCTGCCAGAGCAGAAACTCTGGGCATGGGGCCCAGAGTTCCCCTGAACAAGCCCTCTGAAGTTTGAGAACCATTGCCCTGGGTCTGTCCCATCCAGTGTGAGGTCTGACTGCAGGTGGGAACTCCCAGAATTCCTGCAGACAGAGAAGCTCCAAGGAAGGGTGAATGACAGAGGGGCTCCCAGAGGAATAGAAGAGAAGCTCTCAAGCTTTCATCTCCAACTCACTTTTCTAAGCCCAGATGGTGGAGTGAGTCAGTGTCAGCTGTAAGGCATCTAAATTGCCTAACAATGAGATCCCACATCTTGGAAGTGAGTCTGCTCTGGATTCTTAACTGATGTTGTCAAAGCAGAAAGGTGATAATCAAACCCCTTAAAGTAGCAAGACAGCAGGCAAATAGTGCTCTCCAGAAGAGACTTCAAGATGGTAGAGGAGGATGGATGGGGGCTGATGATCAGAAACCATGGGTCAAGAGCAGACTCTACAGACACCTTCCTCCACCCAGCATCCTTGCTCAACAAACTCCAATAGCACCTAGGAATTCTTAACTTCAGGCAGCCACTAGCAATTGATCCGAACTGGTTTTTAAGAGAAACCTGTTTACCAGCCTGAGTTTAGGGGTTAAGTGTTCTAGTTTGTAGACTTAGTATAAAAAGCTGCTATTAGTCGGGCCTGGTGGCTCACACCTTGAATCCCAACACTCAGGAGGCCGCGGTAGGAGGATCATGGGTTCCAAGTCAGCCTGGGCTATGTAGCAAGGCCCTGTCTCAAAACAAACAGCAGTAGAGCACTTGCCTAGCCTTGGGTTGGATCCTCAGAACTACCAAAAAAAAGGCTGTGTGTAGTATCACTCACCTGTTATCATCTCAAGCTACAGAGGAGGCTTAGATGGGGAGAATTGCAGTTCCAGGACAGCCTGGGCAAAAAAGTTCATGAGACCCCATCTCAACAGAAAAGAAGCTTGGGCATGATGACACAAACCTGTCATCCCAGCAATGGTGGGAAGCATAAAATAGAAGTCCAGGTTGGCCTGGGCAAAAAGCGAAACCCTGTCTCCAAAATAACCAGAGCTAAAAGGACTGTAAGGTGTGTCTCAAGCAGTATAGCACCCGCCTAGCAAGCATGAAGCCAAAAAAATCTTTCCTCTCCTTAAGCTGTTAACATCAGGTATCTTATCACAGTGAAAAAGTCTGACTAACGACGTCCCCATTGAGACAACCAGACTTGGTATGTGCCCATTCTTGCTATTCATGAAATCATCTAGCCTCATGCCCCTTAGGATCTGAGGCTCGGAGACAGCACACCACAAGAAGGCAGCAGCAGTCTGGAGTGTGCAGGTCACACGGCACTCAACTCCAGCTCTCACACGTGGGCTGGAAGCCACCCAGGAGAGAGCTTCCAGCTTAAACAGATAGGAATTAAGAGTCAAGCACACGAAAAAAACTCCAACCTCATCCCAGCCAGCTATGGACTGGCCTATAATCAGGGGTTAAAGTGTAACCAAGAACAAACACATCCCAGCATCCGTCCAAATAAAATTTAATACCTTGTAAATCTTATGTAATTCACCCTTAAAATTGAATCAGTAAATAGATAATACACACTCTTAGCTCTTTCACTAAAAGCTTGTACATAATTAATTTCCAGCAGCCAGCATCCTGTCTTTTATATCTTCAGCGAAGTGCTAACCACTGTTACATAAGTTTACTACCTCAACAACAATGAACAAAACGTGGCCTACCAAAATGACCTCCAACCCCAGAATACCAATCCCACCAGCCAGACATTTGTTAGGAGCCAGAGGAGTTGTCCTGATATGCTAGGCCAAGAAAATGCATTCACCAATCCTTGGCAAAGTTACACTTAGCAATTCAGACATAAATGCAGGCAAGATGTTTCCTATCAAATTTTCTTTGGAAATTTACATATCAACATCAAAAATGGTGATCTTGACTATATCTATTCTTTTTTAAATTTTTTTCTTTTTTGTTTTTGACTGCATATATGATGTGAAATAATTCACACCAAATTTTTGGTGGAGTCAGTAGGCTGATAAGAGACAAACAAGTAAGTACCTGGGAAAGCCACCTGTGTGCAGGCGCAGGTCTGTGCTTTGTGGAGCTCTTCTGCTTGCAGCTGGGGTGCCAGTCCCACTCGCAAGGAGAGGATAATAAGGTGGTACTCCGCACCCTGCAAAACACAGCATGGTTAAAAATCCAATACGGTCATTCCCAGCATAGTGAGATCTTGGGAAATACACAGAAGTTCATGTACCATGTAATTCACCCTTATAGTGTGGCTTTTAGTGTATTCACAGACTTGTGCAACCAGCACCATATTCCATTTGAGAACAGTTTCATTATTCCTAAAAATTAACCCTACATCCCTTAAGCCATCACTTCCTAACCCTCTAATTCCTTCCCTACCCCCGGGTCCCATGTAACTACCAATCAAATTTTTGTTCTATAGATTTCCCTATTTGTATATTTCATAGAACTGGACACTGGTGGCACTCAACCACCATTTTTACTTGGCACACCACTTTCAAGGTTCATCCTCGGTGCAACATGTATCAGACCTTCATTACTTTTTATGGGCAAATAATATACCACTGTATGGATATACCACATTTTATGAATCTATTTATTGGTCAGTTGGTGGACATTTGGGTGGGTTGCTTCTACTCTGGCTATTATGAATGAACACTCACGCCCAAGGTTTACGTATGTTTTCTTTCGTCTCGGGTATAGTGGAATGGCTGCCCCAGTGGTTTCAGTTTTTAAAAAATGAAGAAAATTAGTAAGCACACAGTTTGGAATCATCAATTCACCGCGGATCAATCTGAGGAAAGAGATCTTCTGAGAATTCACAGAGGTGAAATAGCTAAAGAATCCTTCTTTTTTTTTTTTTTTTTTTTTTTTTTGGAGACAGGATCTCACTATGTAGCTCAGGCTGGCCTCAAACTCACAATCCTCCTGCCTGAGCTTCTGAAGTGCTAGAATTACAGACATGCACCACCATGCCTGGCAAGGAAGCTTTTCTATTACTATGATAAAATATACATTAAAACTTACCATTTAATAAAAGGAAGAAGAAAAAAAATAGGTCTTTTCTGGTGATGGATACCAGTGGCAGGAGGGTGGGCACAAAGAAAGGAGGAATATGGTGGATGTGTTTTGTATCCATATTTGAAAAATAGAAGAAGGAAACCTGTTGAAATTGTTCTAAGAAGTGGGGGAGAGGGGAAGGGTGAGGGTAAATCCAACTAAGATACATTGTAAGCATATGTGAATATCACAATGTATCCCCCTGTACAACTATTATATACTAATAAAATGTTTTTAAACTTACCATTTAAAAAAGTACAACAGAGAGAAAGCATTTTAAACTAAAAGGGAATTTGTTTTTCACAGCTTCCATTAACACTGTCTTATGATAACATTGTGAGTTGCCCGTCATCAGAAACAATGGTGCTTTCTCTTTTACCCCTCAGTATAAGAAAACCCAAGAAATACCCCAGCCACACACTATCATACCCCTTGCTTTCACCACTACAAGGAGGCATGCTCATTTCTGGGTGGTGCCTGGGCTGGGCAGCACAGTGGGCTGGTGTGCTACCCAAGGTATCTTGTGGCATGTGTGCAGAGCGCACCATTTCCCACAGGGCAAAACAGAAGTGGAGGACGGGGCTGATTTTATTTGCACAGGCGAAGACCACTTCCCTTCTCCTAGGATCAGCAGGAAATGTAGGCAGAGGATAACCGAGGCCATCTGGACATCCCACAAAGCAAGCAGCGGATTAGAGTCCAGCCCCATGTCGTCTCCATTATTACTTCCAAAGATAAATAAATGGCTAGCAAATCAAGAAGTGTTTCCTAAGCATTTGGCCTGAATATGGAATTTTTCTCTAGGTATCAGCTCCAAAGAGAGCTTTTCTTTTATTGAAATGGTTTACTTTTTAACTCAGTTTTTTTTTTTCATTTCTAAGACAACGGATTTTAACTTTCTGACTTTTTTTTTTTTTTTTTTTTGTAATATTCCAGGGTTTTTTGACTGGAAAACACCAGTAACAGTCAGCTCTTTCTAAAATATACCATTGTTAACTGGGGCCTACAAATTCAGAAAAAACTTGGCAGAAACAAGTAAAATATATTCTTTATTTTCAATTGTTTTGACAGATATGTAAAATTCTCATCAGGTAACATGAGTTAAAATTGAAAACCTTTACAAATTTTGAAAGGAAAATCCAGGACTGGGGTGTGGCACAAGTGTTAGCTGCTTGCCTAGCAAATGTGAGGCCCTGAGTTCAAATCCCCATACTGGGATGGATGGAGGAAGGGAGGAAGGGAGGAAGGGAGGAAGGGAGGAAGAAAGGAGGGAAGGGACTGAGGGAGAGACGGAGGGAGGATGAAGGAAGGAAGGAAGGTTAGGTTGGCTCAGTATTTTTGTGTTTGAGTGTCAAATTTTTGTTTGTTTGTTTCCTTTCTTCATTTGTGCCTATACTGAAAGCGAGAAAGTGCTGGCAGGTATTTGCTGAAGACCTACTGTGCTACAGTGAGGTAAATGTGCACATGTCTACACCTCTCATCTCTGTTTCAGTAAACCTGCAAAACTCAGTCAACTGTCGTTTGGTAGCAGCTTTGACCAACTGTACAGTTTACTGAATAAAGTCTTCTTCCTAAACACAGGAGAGGCAGGGCGGATTCCTCAAGCTTTTGAAGAGTGGACTGTGCCTGACTCCCGATTATGTCTTATACACAACTTAGCTCCCCTGAAAACTGTACAGTACTGCGTGTGTGTCGCCTCAAGCAGACAACTATCTGAGAATGAAAGGGATGGGATTCTTGGAAGAAACACTGGCTCACTGTTTAGCCAATGAGCCCAGAAGTCTTGGTTCAGAATGTTCATGAAGAGTTCCCTCCATAGAAGCAGAGCCAACAACCTCTTCTTCCCACTGAGATCTTTAACATCTTCTGGGAGGGGAGATACTGGGACTAAAAGCCATGGGGAACATCAGACATTGCAAGGTCAAGAGATACACAAGAGTGCACCTCTGCAGCGAGCCGCTCACAGTGTGGTCCAGGGGCTGAACGACTGCATCCCCTGGACTTCAGCCTCACCTGGGCAGACAGTGCTGTTTGGGAGCTTGTGAGAAATGCAGAGCTTCAGGCCCCATCCTGACCCACACAAGCAGAATCTGCATCTCAACAGTGACTCATGTACACATTAAAGTTTAAGAAATAAGAGCTGGGGGAGTGGCTGGAGCTGTAGAACACCTGCCTAGCAAGCATGAGGCCCTAAGTTCAAACCCCAGTACTACCAAAAAAAAAAGTTTAAGAAATTAACACATGACAGCAGGAAGTAAACCTTGTAAGATACCCAGAAAGGAGTGTTCCCTATAAGCTTAGTGAGGGATACAAATATGTCCCTCGAAAGGCTGGGTCAGGAAGCCAAACCTGGGTCAGAAAACAAAAACTGGGAATTGGTGAAGCAGGGTTTTGTCCATGTGTATTCAGAACTGAGAATTTTACAGATTCGGGGACGATCTCTTTTACCTCTGAGGCAGTGCTATGTCATCAGGCTTAAGGGACTATTTTGTCTAAAACAACAACAACAAAACACCCATTTAACTTTCCTTATAAAGGTAACGAATAATTTGACTTCTGTGTGGCTTGATTTGGGGAAATGAGGTGAGGCAGACATGGTTCCTTCTAGGTACTCATTCCATTTGCAGGGAAAGGGGGAGGGATAAAGGAGAATGGTGAAGGGGGTGAATTCAAGTATGATATTTGATATACTGTAAGAACTTCTGTAAATGCCACATTGTACCCCCATCCAACACAAGAATAAAAAGAAAACTTAAAAAGAGAAAGGCTATCTCCAAACAAAAACTAGTCAATCAATTTACACATCTGACTCATGACCTTGTTTGCACAACACTCGTCATGACAGTCCTGAGGCAGGAGCTAAGAAGATCCAGTTTCTGTCTGAGGAACCAGCTCTTGATCATGATGACTCAAATGAGGCTGAGTCTCCTACTAAGACAATGTGGAGACTAAATTAGAATTCAGAAATGGCAACTATAGAGACCATGTGTCATAGCTGCCAATTCCCTAATTAGATGTCCAGAAAAAACACCCCTAAATCAACTGCAATCAGTAAGCCCAGATTTGGCCTTGGGTCCTCCCTAGTTAGACGCTTTAAGCAGTCGCCCACCACTGACACCTGTATAATGTATGAAACCTGTTTGCCATTCTGACAAAAGATCCTCCCAGCCTAAAGTGCTGTTCTTCCACCACCAAGGTCCAGGATTCGGTATGCACAGGTCCAGAGGCTCCTTAAAGAATCACAGTTTGAATTGGTGCTGGTGGCTCACGCCTATAATCCTAGCTATTCAGGAGGCAGAGATCAGGAGGATTGTAGTTCAAAGCCAGCCCAGGGCAAATAGTTCAAGAGACCCTTTCTCACAAAAACCCATCACAAAAAAGGACTGGTGGAGTGGCTCAAGAGGTAAGAATGCCTGCCTGCACGAGGTAATCACAATTTGGTCATTACAACCTGACTTCCACAGCCCTTGCTAGCCACATTAACTCACAGTAACTCTATACATCTTGCCCCTCCACAAATGTACACACTTCCTTTTACTTTCTAGAGAAGAACTAAAATAATAATACAATAATGTCTCAAAATTTCATTGCATTCTGAGAACTCACCAAAAGAATTATCTATTTTTCTTCTAATAAGAAGTACCATTTACAACTAGGAAGAAAATCTATCTAAATCAATTTTGGACTCGATAATTCTTTTATGGGAGGTTGTCCTCAATGCTAGGAGCACCCTGAGTGCCCCAACGACACTGCTGAACAAGAAAGGAGGGATTCTCCATCTCCACCTCCATGGAAAACCACTGGCTAGTGATCCTAGCAGTTCTCTTAGGAGATGGAACCATGGGGGAGTCCCCTTTATTTTTCTGTATTTTCTGAATCTTCAGTAAAGAATGTCTACCATTTCTAGGGCACAAATAAGCCAGGAATATTCACATTTTAACAAAGAAATATCATTTGATATACCAACTTGATTGGGCCTGCCACTGTGTGGCTAAGGCAATTTAAAAATTAAATTCAGACCCTAGAAATATTGTCTAACACACAGCCACCTTAAACTGAACTACTTCTCAATGTCTAAAAGAC